GACTGAGTGAAAACAACAGCATTTGGTCTTCACAAACACCAACAGTCGCAAATAAATTGTGATTGGATCTCCTAGGAAGGATGTTAATACCAGTCAGGGTTTTTCTAACTGCCTGAGTTTCACCTCTCATGCAAAAGGCTTTTTCAGTTCTCGCTGACAGGGATTTAACCTCCTGTGGGGTTGTTGGCACCTTCGTGTAGCACTTGGAAATTAGTAAGCAGCTAAACTTGTGTTTATGGGGAGAGCAAATGGCATCTGAAATAAAAGAAATAGGAAATAAACAGATGCCGCTCATATCTTTGCACTTCACTCCATCTGTCTGCATATGCTACTCTACTTCTCAAGCTGCAGACTTTTGATGTAGCTCTATGAAGGCCGTGAAATGTGAACTAAAGCTCTAAAAGAGCTCAGCTTGACACATAGGTCTGTAGTTCTGACTTGTTTTCCTGTTGAGGTAGAGGAGAGAGAAAAATACTCCTCATCCCACAGACGAATCCTCCTGAGCGATAACTCACCTGACAGACAGCGGCGATGACTCGGAGCCGATAGAGACAACAACACTGCGTCTTCATCCGATGTTTCACAAAGAGCCTGCTAACAGCGAACGCCGCTCGCCACATCAAAACCCTCTCAGCTGCCGAGTGCTGCTGCCGAGTGCTGCTGCCGCTGCGTCACGTTTCAGTCTGATAGCTGAGGCTTTTCACCCCGACAGTCAGGACTTCAAATAGCTACAGCTGCAGAAATGACAGAATGGATTTTAAAGAAAACAGCTGAAGGACAGAGTGGCCCTTCAGACGAGCTGAGAAACTGTAAAGCAACAAATTACACTCAACAGGAAAACTTTGTTAAAAAAGTCCTCTTACGGAGCCAAGTTGAAAAAGTTTCTCTCTTAAGTTTGAGATTTAAAAAAATCCTCTTTTATCAGCAAGATTTTAAATAACTGTTTCTCAAAAGGCGTTTAGGAACACCCAGTCAGAGGTGCATTGCAGCAGCTGGGTGTTCCTAAAAGGATTCAGAGCCCCCTCCATAGCAGCCAAGCTCATAGCCAAGCCAATAGCAGCGTTTAAACTAATATTCACGACTAAATATCAAACAATTAAAAATAGTTTTGTTTTGGACTGATGTTCACAGGTTTCAAACACACAATACATATCGGTAAAAAGGTTGTAGTTGAAACAGAGCGAAACAAGTCAAATTGAATGGTCAATTTTGGAAGAAAGCTGAATTAATGAATAATTAGTAATATACTAATGGTTGTACAGACAGTCACTGGAAACACTTGGATCATCCTATAAAATTGTACCTTCACTAGATTTATGAGAAATTATGTACAATCACCAACAAAAGGAAAATGGAAAACTTATTTTTTTAGTTAGATTATTGGATTTGGCTCTTGGGCAGTTTTTTTCCTACCCCTGCTGCTCTTTAGGGCCCTGGGGGCAGTTGCCTGCAGACCTCTGCTGCCAGCTTTAGTTTAAACTTGGCACACACGTTACATTACCAGCAGAATTTACCTTCACAGCTAATTTAGGATTTTGAAGTATTTCAAAGTAGTTTCTAAGAGACAACAGAAGCAAAATTGACCGAAAAAAAGGAAAATATGTAGAAGACACAGACGAAGATGTCAAGAGCGTTTTTGGTTATGAGAGAAGACGCAGAGGTCAATGTGCTGTAAACAAAAATAGAGAATCAATACATCCTGCCCCTGCCTGCTGCACCACCCCTCACCTGTATCCTCTGGAGGATTTGTTGTAAACACACCTGAGTGAAAAATCTCCCACTGCAATTTTCATGTGGGAAAGGAAACCTCTGGAGAAAGTCCTGACCCAATTCTCCACAGGAGGTCATTTCTGAAAACAGCGAAAGTTAGGTGGAGGGAGAGCAGAGACATTTCCTACACGTGTTGAGGTGGTTGACCATCACAACAGAAAGGGCCAACTGGCCAAGTGGGCTTCACCAGGGCATGGCTCTTAAAGAAATGGGGGATAAACCCAAACCCTTTTCAGATAGACGCAGTAAAGAGAAGCTGCGGCAATGGAAAGTAAAAACTCCATGGAATGTATGAGTGAGCAAAGAATACACATATTTTAAAATGAAAAAGAGGAGCCATACACATAGAAGATGCTGACAAAGATTTCAACTTGGAAAGACACCAAGATTCGATAGTTTTGGCGATAAGGGCTGATGTGCTGTGTAGAAAAACATGTGCTATCTGAAGCAGAGTTTATACGTTATATCCTGTCTCCTGCTGCTCCACACAGACGCCACCACTCACCTGAATAATCCAGACATTTCTTTTTTTATGTTGAATGGATCTGAGCCTGCTTGGCTTATGCCCCCTTGAAAGACAAGTTGTATGGTGGAGGAGTTGCACTAGATACACATTTATGGCCTTTTGTGAGAGTCTGTTTGGATGCCTGTGTTGTAGCTGAGGAACTCTGGAGCTGGTGAGTACAGGAGAGTCAGTGTGTAGCTGAGGCCCCTGCTGTCAGTGTGTCAGCGCTACATGCTAAGCTGTGACTACAGCAGAGTTATTGATGGGGCCCTGTGGTGTGTTTACCACCACTGCATTGGAATAAATACTGCTCATGTACTTTGTTGCTCAGCTTTTATCTGACTTGTCAGTGTCAGTGCAGTGAGAGTAGCAACTGGTTTCACAGACACCGATTTTCATCGGCAAAATAACCTCAGTGTTTCTTTTTATGTAAAGGTTATGGAGAGGCAGGAGGGGTCAGCTGTGTCAGACTTTAACGTGCAAATAGAAACTATTGCAATGTTTGAACAGAAAATACCTTTTTTTTTCACGCAGTATAAATTTTGTTGGGAAAAGAATGGCCTGTATCTACTTCATATGCCATCACACCTCTATGTGATTGTGTGTAAACTCTAAAGTGAAAGTAGCTCACCACTCTTACATTGCCGATCATATCACACCTTCATGTGCTCAGTTTCCTTTTGTTAAGAAAAACATCCCATCCAGGTACTCGCCTGCTGGAAAAGTGTTCCCTTTATGACAAAATCAACACACTACCCAATCACAGGCGAAGTTCAACTTGGATAAGCGCGTGCTTCTTAGAAAAGGCTTGTCTTTAATCACCCGCTGTTGTTGTTGTGGATGAGGATGTCTCTGACCCTGCTGACCCCCGTCTCACAGAACTGATCCCTGTCTTTTCTCTGCTCTGAGGTCCTGGTTGTTGTGGATCCAGTCATCTGTGGAGAGGGAACAGTCCATGGCTCTATTGATGACAGTTCATTAGTATGCAGGGGGGGCTTTTGCTGTCACTACAGCAACTAAATAACCCCCCACCCCCCAAACACACACATACTAACTCCAGAGGCTTTATATTGTCCCCTCTGATTCACCCACAGTTCATCCCTTCACCAGTCTCTGTCTTTGCTGAATTCAGTGAAGATTTTAAAGATTTATTTTGTTGTTGTTTAGTTACGATAAATGTCACAAATACAGCCACAAATAGAATGTCCGCTACTTATACTGTTTCATCTGCATTGTTAAGCATGAAGCTTGTCTTTAATGCATATTCTTCAGAAATAATTGAATTGAATTCAGTTAAGTCAACAGATTAAGTCTACTGTAGGATCTTAAGCCAGAATTTGAAGGTTGAAGTGATCTTTTTGGATAATAGGGTGCTATGAGCTCTTTAATGTGATGAAGATATGTTTGTAATTTATTGTGACTTTTACAGGGAGCCAGTGCAGAGAAGCTAAGGCAGCAGTAAAAAGATCTATTTTTGTAGTTCCTGTCAGTACTTACGCTGCAGTATTTTGAATCAACTGGAGGCTTTTCACAGACTTAGTGGGACATCCTGATAATTAAGAATTACAGAAGTCTAGTCTAGAGGTAGCTAATGCATCGACTAGTAATTCAATCCTTTTGGGTGTTTCTAACTTTCAAAGTATTGCACGAGTGGAATGAGGCTAAACACTCATTTTATATGCGACTCAAATAACCTGGTCAAACATATATCCAAGGTTTCTCACAATAGAGCTGGAGGTCAAGGTAATACCAAAAGTATCTGTTGGTCTGAGGTTTTCAGGCACAATGACTCCTGTTTAGTCTGAAATTAAAAGTAAAATGTTTTGGGTCATCCAGACCTTCATTTATTTAAGACATCCCTGAAGTTTAACTCAGTGATTACATTCATCTGGTTTCATAGTACAGCTGGAAGTGTGCTGCTTTCTGATAATGGAATATATGTTTGAAATAATCCTGATATTGACTTGAAGTCATATTGCCCAGCCCTGCTACATCAGCAGAAAAATACCCTTGTCCAGTGAAGATAAAGAGAGACATGGACTTGTTAAAGCATTTAAAGGTCCAGTGTGTAAGATTTAGGTGAAATTTAATGTAGAATAATCCTCATGATGTTTTCACTAGTTCGTTTCATCTAAATTATATGAATTGTAGTTTTCTTTACACCAGAAAAGGCTCTTTATATTTAAATACTTTATATTTACATCGAGGAGACCCTCTCTACGGAGGCCATGTTTTTCATATTAGTCCAGACTGAACAAACTAAACACAAGTTGAGTTTTTATGAAAACTTAAGGCTCCAACAGTTTTTTTTTGTTATGTTTGGAAGGGGAGGGTGAGGTGAGGGGTGTTCAGCTGCAACATGCCATTTCAACACTAGATATCACAGAATTCTACACACTGTACCTTTAAAAAAGTTCCCCTGTGAGATACACCCCCATTATTTAGTTTAACTTTAACTAGTTTCACACAGTCACACAAAGCATCTCAATTTGCATCATCTTATGAACAAGCCCCTTCATTTAAACAATAAATAAGTGCACAATTAGAAATACTGTTGCTATTTGTTAACTCTCAAACCGAAGGTATTAAAAGTGAAGTAAACAGTAACAGAAACGTAAAATGAAATATTGTGTTTGTGAATGCATATCAAACCCAATCATTGAAATGATTATAGCTACAATGCATTACATATGATTTACATGATTTACCTTCTTGCATCCCTCAGGTCAGCTGGCGGCGGGGACCTGTGAGATTGTTACTCTGGACAGGGACAGCAGCCAGCCGAGGAGGACCATCGCACGACAGACAGCCCGCTGCGCCTGTAGGAAGGGACAGATCGCCGGGACGACACGAGCCAGACCGGCCTGTGTTGAGGGTAAGATGCTCAACGCCCTCAAATAGCTATAACTGATTGTTGGAGACTCCCAGAAACAAGTTTCACATTTTGAGATCTTAAGATTGGCTTGAGGAAATGTCATTACATTTGTACAAATCTTCACTTGGACTCATGGATGACCTGTGGTGGCCAAAGGTCAATGGTCAAGGTCACCATGACCTCACAAAGCACATTTCTTGCCTTGTGAATGCAATCCTTGAAGCAGCTTGAGGGAATTCTTTCACATTTGGCACAAACATTCACTCGAGCTTGGATTTCATCTTGGTAGCGCAAGATTAAAGGTCACAGTTGCCTCACAAAGTATGTTAATGTTTTTCTTGAACATCATATCTTTAGATCAGCTGAAGGGGATTTTGGTTCCTAGAGGTCAACTGTCAAGGTCACAGTGATCTCATGTTACTGTGAATGTGAAATATTAGGACTGCCCAAAGGGAACGTCATTACATCTGGTACAATTCACTTGGACTCAAAGATAAAGTGATTATTTTTCAGTTGTCAAAGTTAAGGTTACAGTGACCTTTATATGCTTTATATAGCATAACAGTTATATAACAGTTAGCAAGCGCTTGTTCCATTTTCTGATTCTTGACAATGTTCACAAAGACCAACTGGATTGTTTCTCCATCAAAGGTTTTCAAACTATGAGGTGCAAAAGGAGATGTTGAGGGGGCAGTTGTGGGGAGATGTGAGGTGAAAGTGCAGAAATAAATTAGTTAGTTAATTTGTCCCACATATTAACACATGCTGCACTAGATGCTGTGACAAAAGGTTGGTACCCAATTGCCCCACTTTACTCCTGAGAGTCAGAAACATAACAAACACACTCCTGAACTTGAGAATTCCCACATTTTAAAAGTTTGTTGGAGTAATGAAGTGATATATGTGTGTAAAATTCAAACAACTACTAACAGTTGATTCTGTATGGGTTGTTTTCTGTTTCAAGCCTGACTACTAAATGAAAACAGAGCAAAGAAAAGGAAATGCTTTATAAGATGCATTAATATAAACTGGTTTCTGTGGCACTGTAAATATAGTTTTTGAAGGTGTTGAGAGTGTTAAACAGTGTTTGTTTTTTTTCTTTCAAATAAGTAAGAACAAGAACTCATGCCAATCTTTTCCGAGGCTAAAGATAATCTCACATCTTAAGACAAACTTTATGTTTATGAAGGAAATAAACATCTCCTCCATGTCTCTTCATCTGGATTTTGAGGTTCAGAAAGTCACAGCCCAGATGGGAGAAGCCCAATGTTTCATTGCATTTCATCACCAGCTGTCTCCCACGTTCCCCTTCTTATTCTGTCTCTGTTTCTGCCATCTGGAGAAGATGACAACAGCTGGAGGGACTGGGTCTACTCTGCAGGGATTTACAGACACTCCTGGTGATTCAGAGACTTTCGAACAGTTGTTTCGCTGAGTTCGAGATCCACTGGAGTCCACCCTGCTGCTTTCTCTTCAATAAAGCTTCACTTGAGAGATTTGGGCTGAGTGAGATTTGACCAAGATATTTTCAAATAATCAGCATCAAAACTTCATCTTGTTTATTGGAGAGCTTTGAGCTCCAGCAGAACACTGATGGATTGGTGTATGGATTGTTTGATAACAACATATGGCACATCAGTACAAATTTGGTGCATTGATTTATTTTTTGGGGCTTTCGTCTTGGTATTGCTAAACTTGGAACTTGGAACAAATCGAAAAAAAAGTTCTTCAATACACACCTAGGAATACGTCTGTTGATAAGTTTTGCTTTCAATGTAAGATTGCACAAAACTTGTTTAATTAAATGACTCTTTGCTTACGAATGGTTTTGGTGTAAAAACATAATGCACCAGTCAAAAAAAAAACAATTTAAATATGATATGTGCAGAAAAAGAACATGATTTTGCTAGCCTATGTCAGCATAAAGAAATAGTCTGTATTTATATACAGTATTTCTAGTCTTGATGGCCACTCAAAGCACTTTGCAGTTTTGCTGTACACCCATTGACACAAACATTCATACAATGCATCTATATGCAGGGCTTTATCTATTACACATCAATCCCACACTGCAGTTATGGGCAATATGGGGTCAGTTTCTTGCTCAATGACCACTCAGCATGAGGAATGGGAAGCCTGGGATCCAAACGCAGATTTTCTGCAGATGACCCACTCTATCTGCTGAGCAACAGCCACATACAGGTTAAAGTTTATGTATATGGATCTGAACAGGTTACAGTTTTTGAGTTGTTGAATCAGAACGTGTTATAGTTTGTGTGGTTGGATCAGAACAGGTTAAAGTTGTTGTGTTGTTGAATCAGAACAGGTTAAAGTTTGTGTGGTTGGATCAGAACAGGTTAAAGTTTGTGTTTTCAGCATTCAGAGCTGTTTGAACACTCTCTGCTGCTTCAGGATGCTATTTTCTACAGCATACTTGGCTGGTAAACATGGCTAATTGCTATGACCTGCTTTCTGAGCTCAGAGACTCAACAGCAGCTTCCTGTTTTTTATTTCCTTACTGTCTGAAACCTTTTTAAACTCTCAGTGACTTAGAGTTTAGGTTTTAGAAAGCTATTTGGTTTTTATTCTTGGTTGAAAGAAATTACATTTACCTTGGATCTGTCTTCCAGCTCCACGAGTCCAACATTTTCAATCTAAATTCCATCAGCAGCTTCTGGTCAACCACTGCAGTTCACTAATGAAACGTTAAGGTACGCCGTGCAACTAAAAACACGTGGACACCTGAATATTCCAGCCATGCAGGATAATTGGCACTTGTGTTTTGAAATATAGTGTGACTTACATCAGAGAGCCTGCATGTGGGCTTTAGGTGACAAATCATTGTGGATGGAAAATGTCCTTTCTAAGGTGTTTGGAAGAAACTTTGGCTTTCATCTGTGTCTCTGTGTGACCTTTAAAGAGCTGCATGTTGGTATTAATGTCAGTTTGGGTTTTCTGTTACAATCTGCTGTTACACAAACTCTAAGGTCTCTTGAACGTATCAGGGTTAAACACAAAAATGGAAAGATAAAGTGTCACCGGGACAAAGTTAACAAAAAAACATCATGCACCCACATCACATGACCTGTACACAGAGGTGGAAAATCTAATTATTTATTTTATTTCACAGAAATTAACTGGATTATTTAACTTTTGTTGTTTTTCTAAATTAAGTGTAAATACCACAGCAATAAACTTCTTGAAATAAAAACATCAACAGTAAAATAAAGGTTGGAATTTTTATAACGCAAACCTATTTTTTTTATGGCGAAAACCCACATCCTTACATTGCTGAATATATGTTTTTGTGTTTGCATTATTCGAGAAAAATCTAACTGAAGGTTTTTCTCTTTAAATTGATTGGTTAGTCAGTGTCTGGCAACTGCTGCTGCCAGACATTTCTTCCAGAATTTGACAGCGTTTTTTTTCACTGTGTACTGTAATGCTGTGTTACAAATCAAAGCTGTGCAGTTATTAGTAAGAAAATATGGTAAAAATCAAAAGATAAAGCATCCATTATGCTGAATGGCCACTGTTACACAATTATAAACGGATGCATCCTGCATGTTTTCAAAATCAGTTAATCTGCTGCTTATTTATCAGTCTATTCATCAGTTATTCTTTAAATACTAAAGAATATGCACGGCAGCATTTTTTTGTTTGGTCCGACCAACAGTCCAACCCAATATGCAGTGATCAATGATTTAAAACAGAGAAAACTATAAAATCCTCATATATTTTAAAAGGAATCAGGTAATGCTC